GGTCCAAAATACTTCTAGCTGAGGCCCATCATTTCTCTTCGCCCACATTTCTTGCAAGTATCGTCGGCTTTTCAAGTACCACATTGGAATTCTGGGACGGTGTAAACAACGACTCGTTAGCCAGAATATTCTGCCCCAGAGCCCTGTGAAAATGTACTGCCTCTGCGATTCGGACGATGCGGACGACGCAATTGACATGAAAAGACTCGGTAAACTCGGATCATAATGTTGGTACCTCGAGACATGATACATTTTGTAGTGCATGTTCGTGATGGAAAATAGAGACATTTCTGCATCAATCTCATTTCATGCATAGATCTGGGCGAGCAAGCGCACAAGGCGCCACCCTGCTGGGTGCTCAAGACAATCTTTGCATCACTCCACGATACACGCGCATTTGACTCGGTCGGTCGAGATGCCTACATCTCATTCTCATTTGTCTTCAACTACTGGCGATAATTCACGACTACTGGCGATAATTCACGGTCCGCTTGACCCCCATCCATCTCCCCGTTCACCCGTTCAACGTAGCTTCAGGCGGCGCTTGGCAAAAGACTTTGGTACCTTTATACAGAAGCGAGATGCAAGCAGAAAAAAAATGGTCAGGCTGTGAGGGTACACTTGTTACAAAGATTTCCAATTCTTGTCTAGATTCAATTGGTGGCAATTTTCAAAAGCACCGTTTCGTGGCCCCTCGGGCGCCGCTTTTCCGAACATGCTGTCGAATAGCCTGCTTCAATGTTACCTTGTGTTGATCAAGGCCTCTCAATAATAGTTAAGCACACGTCAGCATGTTTTTAGCTGAGCGTGACCTAACCTGAGAGCGTAATCGTCATTGTAAAGAAGCATGCAGGATATTCATGCCAGTCATCACACACTCCGAGTACAATGTTTCCCCCTCAAGCATGCGTCACCAAACTCTAGCTCACACCGACGTCGAATCAAACCGCAGTGCTGAGACTTTACTCTCTTCTCCTCATTTTTGCAACAGTTCCATGTCCTTCACCGACAGAGTGTCGCTTTCTGGAGTTTGAGTCGGACCCTGTGGACTCTCCATTCAGTGGCCTCTCAGGGATTTCCAGAGGCTGCAAGGGCAGGCTTTCAGCGTCAGAAGTAGCTCCCCTTACTTGTTGTGCCTGCAAACGCAATCTTGAGGCATGCAGCTGATCGGTGTATAGTTGCTCGAGGATTTGCTCTTGAGCGTCGTACTCGTCACTTTCGGACTGCTCTGGGTCACCTTGCTCGTCCTGCAAGTGACCATTCTGCTCATCATTCTGCTCATCATTTTGCTCATCAGTTTGCTCCTGGCCAGTCTGTTCCTGAGAGACTGGCATATGGTAAGTTGATGCCGAGCCATTTGATACAAGGTGATATTCTGCCTGGTGGTTCAGTGTCTGATTGTTTGCCAACAGAGCGGATTGTGCGTGGGTAGCTTGCATTTGATCAACTTGCGTTTGATCATCTTGTTGCTGAGTCTGGTTATCCTGCGCCACACTGCCAGGCAACGCGCCATCCTCTTCGTCATCCGAATCCTCGTCGTCAGAATCTTCTCCATCTTCCGGCGCCCAAACAAGATCCCCGTCGCTCTTTACAACACAGTTGACGGCGATTGTCCCCGATTCATCCGGCTCGCTGTAATCGAGGGGCACACCAGTAGTAGAGCAGTTTTGTCTATACCACACGCGCAGCCGACTGGGCACGCCATATATTCGCGAGTGGTTCAGCGCTCGGATTATGGTGCCGTGCTCCGCCACGGCTTTTTGCCTCATCCGCGTCGCCGCCTCGATCCTGATGGGCTTCTCTTCTTGCACCTGCTCCGGCGAGTTGTCTGGTGCAAAGCGTAGCCCAGAATTCGATGCGTCGCTGACATTTTCGGATTCTTCAGCTTGCTGTATAGAATGCCCGCAGCCCTCGCCAATGGCAAAGTCGACAATGAGATTTTTAATCTCGAGGGGAGCCTTGTGTTGCCAACAGACAAATCCAAGCCTAGCGGCCTCCCACCACCATGATACGCTCTGTGGCGGCACATGCCGTGTCGAGCAGAGACGATAGTGAGGATCTACCAAGTGTATGGCGAGAAACTGCAACCGCCCACATTTGGACTCGTCGTCGAGGTCTAGCTGCTCAAATTTGTGTTGGAGGGCGTTTGGAAACGTCACGACTCGTCCTTCTGGCAGCCTGATGCTGACTAGCTCCTGGAATTGCGGCTCAAGAGGATTCCCAGGAACGGCCGTGGGCATAGAACTGCTGGGCTGTTTTCCCTTGGCAGCAGCTTCTCCTCTACCACCGTGATTCTTGATCTCGGAACGAAAGGATATTTTTCCAGACTGATCTTTGATGTTTTCTCGACGCAGACATATCAGCGAGGTGGCGACGATGCGCTCGTTGCGGTTGCCATTGAGGCCCCATTCAAAGCGCCTGGTTGCTTGTCAATCATCGTCGTCATGCTATGGTGCAGGCCAGAGGAGCTCACCTCGAATCTTCATCCGGAATATTTCCGTCTGCATCAATCTCTAAATGCGCCAGTTCAATGTAGACCTGCAGACCACGGTCCCTGAATCCCTGGCTCAAGGATATGCTGTCGTACAGCCTTTTGACATTAGTGTAATTGCCGTTCAAGGCTGACGTCGGACTCCAATCTGAGCCTAGAGGAGGTTCTTCTGTTCCAGTACTGATCCCACCTTGCATCCATCTGGAGAAGTTGCCAAGCTCGATAGCACAGAAGCAAGTCCCACTTGTGGTACCGAGGCACGCGTCACAGCGTCGTCTTTCTTGTGATTTGATTCGTGGTCCATTTCTTTGAAGTGATTTGTAAAGTAGAACCTCGTTCCACTCAGGAATAGACTCGGTTATCAGGTTCTCTATAGCAGAGTATAATGGCTTGTGTCGGAGGGGATGTAGATTGTTGATTGGTGATAGGAAGCTCACAACGTTGCCTTGTCCAGTGAATGTGATATCCGCTGCCAGCCACTGCGATTTGCTCGAGTAGTATTGCATCTCGCCACTCCATTTGTCATTGTCCCAGAACGGCCGCGGTGGGATGATACCGCCACCGATGCTGCTCGTGATATTCTCGAGATTGACAGCCCGGCCATCCGCTCGAATAGGTGACCCCGCGTAGATGAAAGGATACAGCCAGGGCGATATGGAACGTCTTCCCGTATTACCGAGCAGATTTTTGAGTAGCTGTGTATTTTTCAGCCGATCTGATTTGCAAATTCGGGATGCAGAGTCCAAAGCAAAGATGGACCGAGACAAGTCATGCTCTTTTGCCTTGTCCATCAACTCGAAGAGGCACCAGTCCCAGAGTTCGTGATTGGTAAAGTATTGAGAAAGAGCTAGTGCTTTCCATCTCTGCACCGCAGAAAAGTCGAAAACCTTGGACTGCCAATTTTCTTCCTCTGTGAGGTCATTCATGAGCCGCAACATGGCGAGTTCGGCGAAGCTCAAGCGCTCTTGCTTCCATAGGCCAAACCCGTGCGAGAATTGGATATTCGGATGACGCTCAAAGTTGATAGCGACGTGAATTCCTGGAATGTGGCGCGGGCCCCCTGTATTGTTGCGCTCAGCGAGATCCTCTCCATCAAGAAAGCTTGGGTAGTTTCGCTTCAGTTTTACTCTTTCCACTGTATGTATCTTTAGCAACCAACCAATTCTCCTGATCGGATAAGCTCTTCAACATAGTTGGCATACCTCGTCCGTGATTAAAATGAAGAAGCACGTCTGATGCAGCCATTGCAGTGAGGGGCGGTAGGCGCAACGGCGGAAACGCAGGAGCTTTCAATCGGACTGAGGCTTTTCAGAAGACTGCCGTCAATGAATCTGTAGTGCTGACTTGTGTAAATATTACAGAGAAATGCTTGTAGGTATTTCATTGCATTTTTCAATCGTCGCGTCAGATTTCAATGCGGTCGGTTGGCTCTGTCAATCTTCTCATAATCCGCCTGGTGACAAGAGAGACCTGACCCGCTAGGGCAATCCTATGGTGCGAGTTTCGTTGTTAGTAAATTAGGGGCGACCTGCCTCTAATACTGCGACCTAGTACTTATGGATAATAACACGGCTCTTTTTATGCCTCCAGCACCAGTGCCCTTACTGAGTATATAAGTACTTAGTCCTGTCGCTGAACATGTGGTTATTGTGCACAGTTGATCTCTCTATCAAGATTGCACACACGAGCGGCACCCTCGTACCATGCCCTGGCGCCAAAGACTGTTTTTTCGTTGGCAATGGCGCACTCACCACAGGGAACAAACGCTCTTGTTGCCCTCTTTAACAACTGCCAATAACCTACGCTTCTTCGGACGGCAAAGGAAGTAATAACTCCCAATCCCAGGCACTAATGAAGGGCAAGAGTTCGGTCAAGGCAGGGGGGAGTGCGCCGTGTCGAGCAACGGACTCTTGAGGTCTTGTTACTGTGACCCAACTTGTTTGCATTGATTGCTTCCCCAATCAGCATCGTCAACATCTCTACCGGACAACGATTGCGGCGTTAGGGGGGGTACACCAAACATAGTTGTTCTAGACTCGCTTGCTTGAAACCCTGACCTACCGAGTCACGCGATATTAGACATGCCAGGCTTGTGTGCTGCCGAAGTCTAGTTAATATGCCTTTCAGCCAGCTAGCGCGTCAATATTTCACCTGCAGGTGCTATCATGAGGTGGCGTGATTGGTTGAGAGATGGAGCTGTGAGGGGCACGGCAATTTGCTAGAGTCTGCGCCTTCAAGAAAAGAATCTTGACCAGACGTGATTTATGAGGCAAAGTGTTCTCGGAAAATATATGGAAAGCCGGGAACGGCACGCATCTGAGGTGATTTGAAAGCGCTGGTCAAAGCTTACAGATCCCATCGCGTCTGCCCTCGTGCCCACCAGACAAAAAGAAAATGACGCCGCAATGCTACCGACACAGCGTTTTCGTGAGACTTGCCTCTACTGGTATGCGGGCTGACATGGTCACCTGCAGAGTGATGGGGTGTCCTCCACCTTCCAGTCCAACCATCTGGCAGAGGGTCGCGACGTTGAATTGCCGTTCTGACAAAGCTGTCTTGCCCGAGAAACTTTGCAAGTAGTGGTACTTGTTGAGTAGAGCAGTGAACAGAATCCCATATCTCCACTGAAAGACGCACAACTTAAAGTAATGAAGCTTTCGACACTGTGGGTTCAGAGTTGGGCATTCGGGGAGAACAGGCTGCAACTTGGGCAACGATGTGGAATTCTTCACGAGATTTTCTGCCAGCGCTTACTTCAGGGTTCTTCGTATGTTCGTAGACATGTACATGTATAGCATCCTGAAGTAACAATGAGGGGTGAGCCTCGGCCGGGATACCTATCATGTACGAACTGCCGACATGGCAGAAGCAAGATGGTAAGCCCCCCGCCCATCCATCCAATATCACATAGCTTGCTCCATAACTATGGCGCGGAACGATTTACGAGCCCGACTTGCATCCTCTATCCTTCACAGTGCTCTTTTCATGAAAAAATCTTTAGATGTTGAGATTTTCAGGCCGGAGAAATTTGAAATGCTGGACAAGCTAACGCGCTTGTTGGGGGTGTTTTATGAGCAATGGGCCTGGCCCTGGAACGCGTCAGAGCTGTTCAACTTGGGGGCCAAGGGGCCCAGGGCTCGCTGTAAATAGAGTGGGGCAGTCCCAAATGTCGTTTATTCTCAAAATGCAAGCCGCGGAACAAAAATAATAGAAATAGGACCCTATCGCATTCTCGCCTGATGAGTTACCATTGTTCAATTTGAGATGTCATTGCCTACTCCCATGGTCAGCTCTCCGCTTGATATATTGGAACAGAGCTGCTGACGAAAGATGTCGAAGGGCTTCAAGCGTTTTGTTGAGGAAGGTACGCCCCTGTGGCGCCACCTATCTTTGTCACCCTAGTGGCCGGTTTCCTCAGTTATTAGCCTAGGCTCTTTTCTTGAGCGTCAATTAATGAAGTGCCATGCATCAACAGTACTTGCTTCCTACCTAGGTCGCTTCGCTTCGTACAGTTCTCCAGCCGCCAAACGCCACGCCCGCCAGCCTGCCCACATCGATAATTCAGATTCAATGCTGCAAAAGGCCGGTCTTTGTGCCAAGTAAAGAACAGCCAGCAAGTGTCCAAGTGCTATTAGGCTCCGCAACTTGTCGAAAAAATGGCAACATGACCCGACGTTTCGCAGTAGCTCATTATTAGCGCTCTGTCCCGCGCGGGACGGCGCTTTACAAGCCCGCCGTTCGACTGCCCACTTGATGGAAATGTGGGCGTTATTCTGGGGAATTTTTGGTCATCTACCAGTACGGCCGCACAGCTTGACTAATTTACGAACTTAGTTACTCCGTAGTAAGTTAAGCGTCGACTGACTTGCCCCCAAACCTGGCCTGGCTCAACGTCCGCTGAGCCCCTCAACCCCTCCACCATCACGATCCGGCCCTATTGCCCTTTGTTACGAAGTATTATAGCAGCCCGGACTCCGCAGGTTTCTCTCGCGGAAAGAGTCCATTGGCCCCCGATCTGACACTATTTGACCCTAGCAGCAGTAGCGGGGCTCTGCGAGCGCCAACTCGGCGCCACCAAATCTGCACCAGACGGCGCGAGCAGCAGCCCAGCCATGCATGCCTCTGTGTCAATTGAGTATTCGCTGCGGGGAAATTGGCTGTACTCTAATCCGTACTCCGTAGCTCTATTTACTTAGGTGCTTACGCCCGCGCGCTGGGCCCATCATCGTTTCGTGATTTAGCCAAGCCTGAGAACCGCTCGACCAACCAACGTGGCAGCCACGTCGTCTTCAATCCTCGCGTCCGTGTTATAACGACCTGAATTGTGTGTTGCTTCCGAATCGCTGAACTCGCTTTGTGTCTCAGGGTTTTGAGCACCTCGTTCTCGCTTTTCTCGCTCCGCAGGTCTGCGCACTTCGTCGCCGGTCATCCTGCCTAGCCTCACCAGCGCCAGGGCGGAAGAGCACAATGTCGCTCCCAACGAACAAATACCGGTGGCCGCCAAACTCGCAAACCATCGGTTTCAGCTTGATGTCTGAAGAAGAAATATTCGAAATCCTCCCATCATCCCTATTTCTTTTATGGGGGGCGGCTACCTACCTCTACTACCGTCGTCGGCCCGTATGCATACGTGACAGTCTGCTGCTATGGGCCAAGCTGGTTAGTGTTCTTATTGCGCAGCTCACGCTCTTCTTTGATCTAACTCGGCTTCTTTTCTAGGCTGTCGCTATTCTCTTGTTCGGCTTGCAGGTCGTCAATATGGCGCTTCGATCCACCTACAAGCATCATCATGCCGATACGAAATCAGCTGCTAGCTCTTTGGACGTTCTTGCTTCTTCGGGACTTTGCGCGGTCCTATATATCGAACATCGCCATGCTATTAGATCCTCAACTCTCCTCGCATTATATCTAGGCGTACGTCTTCTTCTAGAGGCTGCTGAGAGCCGGTCATACTTTCTGCGAGACCTTGTTTCACTGGGCGGCATCACCGCCGCCATGGCCGCCACACGCTTGACCCTTCTCATTATTGAAGAGATCCCCAAGCAGCACCTAATTATCGATCCAGAAATCTGGAAATTATCCAGTGGAGAAGCAACAAGTGGTTTTTGGTGCAGAACCTTTTTCTTCCTTCTAGGTCCCATATTTTATCTCGGCTATCACGGTGTTTTGAAGACTGAAGGCCTCGTGAGTCTTGGTATCGAGTTCTCCTCTGTGCGATTGTTTGCAGGACTTTCAAAACGTTGGAAGTCTTTCAATCAGTCTAGACGGCACTCGTTATTACTAGCGTGTTGTTGGGAGTGGAAAGGCGCTCTGTGTGCGGTCCTGATTCCGCGGGTCATCCTTTCTGTCTTGACGTTTTCGCAGCCTATTTCTATACAAAAGGTTGTCGAGGCAATCGAAGACGAGAGAATCGGAGATGATGAAAGCGGTCGTCTTGTAGCCGCTGTCACCCTGACCTTTGCCGGCTCTGCACTGTGCCGAGCCGTGTCAAAACACATGACTATACGATTGCTCACCCGTGTCCGAGGTGGACTTCTCTCAGTACTCTTGGACAAGAACATGAAGCTCAGACTATCGGACGCAAGAAGAAATGCCATTGTTACCCTCATGAGTGCTGATTTCGATGGCATTGCTAATGGCCTACCGTCTTGCGTGGAGATTCCCATCACATTTCTCGAGACGGGCTTAGGCATGTTTCTGCTCACGCGTTTCGTCCAGCAGTCCAGTTTTGTTATCATCTTTCCACTCATATTCGCCACTCTTATTAACATCATATGCGGTAAGTATATGAGAGCAGCGCAGAGAAAATGGAACGAGAGCATCCAAACTAGAGTGACGAAAACTTCGCGAGTTTTGTCTCAGCTCCCTGCAATCAAGATGCTTGGCCTTGGCCCAAGGACGACTGAATTTATTCAACATCTTCGAATACGTGAAATAAAGACGGCCAAAAAATACCGCACTATTCAAAGTGGCGTCATCTACTCGGCCACGTTAGCGGACCTTCTCTGCCCAACTATCCTCGTCGCAGCAGCATTGTTTCGGGGGGCTTTCGGAGACCTCATAATGCCTGCCATGGTATATCCTACTCTTGCTATTGTGGCGCTTGTTCAGCTCCCTCTCTCGGCACTTTTCCGCTCTTATCCAGCTGCGATGACTACGCTGGGATGCTTTGAACGTTTGAGGGAATTTCTTTGCCACGAAGAGCATCGAGACCCTCGAATACTACAAATTCCACACGAAGTTGAAGATGATCGATCTCCACATCAGGATTCACTCATGGAAAGGTTGGAAGGGAGGGAACGACAATCGCCTGGGATGGTCCACTTCGACGACGTTAGCCTCACTATCTTCGGCAGCGATAAGCCTATACTCAGTGGAATCAATTTTACGCTTTTTCCTGGCTCAATGGCGGCACTTTTTGGCCCGACGGGTTCTGGGAAAACTAGCTTCATAAACTCTATACTTGGGGAAGTCGAAATCTTAAGCGGTACACTCCATGTTGAAGACACTGCGATAGCATTAGTGGGACAATCCACCTGGTTACCCAACCTCTCCCTTCTAGAGTGCATTGTTGGGGCTTGCGAGTATAATGATGTGTGGTTCAGAACAGTCGTGACTGCGTGTCATCTTTTACAAGATATCGCGCAGCTTCCAGGCGGTGTCGACTACGTGGTCGGGAGTGGTGGATTAGCTCTGAGCGGCGGGCAGCGACAGAGAGTCAGCATGGCGAGAGCAACTTACTGTCGCGCCAAGCTGATACTGCTCGACGATTCCTTCAGTGCACTGGACCGAACGACGGCCACTGCCATACTTTTTAACCTCTGCGGTGAAAACGGCCTACTCCGTCAGTCAAACACGGCTGTAGTAGTTGTTAGCTATCTTCCGGAGTGTCTAGAGATTGCCGATAACATCATTTACCTGGACGGACATGGCAACTTCTCTCACCAGACTAGTCAGGCAACTAAAGCGTTAAGCTCGCAAATTTTGAGCTTGTTACGCCAAGAGGCTGCGCTCGAAGAGAAAGCAGACGCAGACAACAAAGAGACGACGATACAGGCGGCACAGACCGTCACTAGCACTGGTATGCAGCGAGTCGAGGTCACGAAGCGGAAACAGGGCGACAAGGCCTTGTGTCGATTTTGGCTGCGCGAAATTGGGTGTGCCACTTTTACCACGTGGCTTTGCATGTCTACCATACACGGTGTATTGGACAGCTTTCCCCGGGTCTATATGAAGATCTGGGTGGATAATGCTCCCGCGAATCGTTTATACTTCATTGGATACGCCCTTTTGCCTTTTGTGTGCGGAATATTCTGCTTTGCAGGAGTGTTGTTTATGTTCAATCATGTGAGCTCCCTTGCAGCGTTAGGCCTCCATCAGAAGCTTGCCAAAACTGTCATGTTATCAACACTAGGCTTTTTGAGCGTGGTTGACTCTGGCTCTATCTTGAACATGTTTGGCTTGGATATGGATATTTTGACTAAAGGCGTCCCGCCTGCTGTGCACAATACGTTATATTATGGAATCGGCGCTGTGGTGAAGCTGGTCATTATTTCATCAGGAGCCGCGTACATGACCCTTCTGATCCCTCCGATCCTGTTGGCACTGGTTTTCATCCAACGATACTCTCTTCGTACTTCACGCCATCTCAGGCAACTGGAGCTCGAGTCGCAGGCTCCTCTCGTTACGGCAGTACGAGAGACTTCGGATGGCTTGGTATACATCCGGTCATTCGGCTGGGAAGGACAGACGCAGGCTCGTGCCCATTTTCTGCTGGATCGCTCCCAGAAGCCGGTATACCTTTTGTACGCTTCGCAACAGGTGCTGGGTCTTTCCACGGACCTTGTTGCGGCTGCGATGGCGATACTTCTTACGGTGCTTTCTCTGTACATCAAGCATGGGAGGTCCGCAAACTCAGTAGGCGTCTCATTTTTGTCGATTGTCGTCGTCGGCAGCACACTTAACCAACTTGTGGTGGAGTGGACCTCTTTGGAGATGATGATAGGTGCGCTATCCCGTATTCGCTCCTTCGTCACGGAGACCCCTATCGAGTCTGGAGAAGATACTTGCAGTCTGCCCGAGGACTGGCCGTCGAGAGGCGAAGTACTGCTGGAAAATGTATCAGCGCGATACCGAAATGAAACAGGAGAGCCATATGTGGTGAGAAACGTGTCAGTTACAATCAATCCAGGTCAAAAATTCGGGATAACTGGGCGGACGGGCAGTGGTAAGTCTTCACTTATGTATTCACTGCTCGGTTTTCTCGATTTCCAAGGCTCGATTAAGATTGATGGGGTAGATATCAGAAATGCTCCGCGCGATGAGCTCCGAGCTAGAATTGTCACAATATCGCAGGACCAGGTGGAATTGGATGGAACAGTTCGCGACAACTTACTTCCGTTTGACACGAGATGGGATGACGAAGCTGTGACGCCGGACGAAGAGGACAAGGCGGAAACGGCCCTCAGAGATAGGATCGCACGAGAGACGCTGGTGCGACTACGGATATGGGACAAGGTGGAGAGCAAGGGCGGATTGATGTCGATGTTGGAAGACGTGGGCTACTCGCACGGTGAGATGCAACTGCTGTGTATCGCGCGGGCTGTCGTGCGCCGCCGCCTCACAGGCAGTAACCTTCTTTTGGTTGATGAAGCGACGGGCGGGGTCGATCGATGGCGAGACCAGATTGTGCGGGAGATGATGAAGGAGTATTTTCGGGGATGTACGATTATAGTGATTGCGCACCGCGAGGAGAGTATTGCAGATTCCAACGTGATGGTGGAGATGGCAAACGGAGAGATGAAGACGCCACGAGTTTTCTATTGAGCGCTAAGGTGGGCAGGATGGGTGCTGGATTTTGTGTTGAATGTCTGGTCGATGCTTGAACCGCAAACTGGCGTATTGTATGGACATTGGTGTCCTTATTTTCCTGGCAGTCTTCCATGCAACAATAGGAGTGATGTCAAGTCGAACTCTTAAGTCGAGCTATCTACCTGGCGTAGCGCCCACTTGTTTGTTCGAGGCACTCTCTCCATCTACGTATCCTGCATTTTCCGAAAGATCAAATTTCGACCGCGTATACAGATAGTCATGAACTCGTCTGGTTGTCGCCGTCATCAGGTGAGGAGACCAAGGAGGTGCCCTGATTTCAGCGGGGAGTCCGGGCCACTAGGTAGTAGCGGACAGCCTTGTTTTCAAGCGGCCCGCAGCAAAACAGGCCTAGCCCCAGCGGACTGCAGCCAAGCTTTGGGGCTTTGCAGTGCTGGGCCAGGAACGGTCTCCACTGAAAGATACGGATGCTGCCACTGAGGCCGCTGAAAATAGAAGGATGATCCACTAACGATCCGCTAATGATCCACTGGGTATCCTTTGGTTGACCAGGCAAACATGGGCACCCGCTCAAACGGCTTTGGTGGACGTTGTGTATTTTAGTACCTAGTGAACGCTCACGACTCGAGATCATTGTAGAATCAAAAGTCTTATGACTGCTTCAGATTCATCTATTAAATAATTATAATCATATCCATTGATGGCACAGGACCCCTCATCTCCGATATTGACAAAGTGTCCACACCCTCGTTTTTAAAACAAGACACTGTTTTCCTTCCCGCGTCTTCCCCCGGCCCAACACCACCCCACGTTTGCCTGAGACATGCCATAAACAACAAACCAAGTCGCGAGAAACACGATGCAATATTATTAACCTCCACCGTGCACTTGGCTTCGCCAAATCCCTTGCTTCGTCATAATTAAGACTTTTGCCCTACATTTCCATCATTGGCCTTCTCCACGAATTTCGCTCTGTTCCCCGCCTTCAAAGCAAACAACCATCGATCGCTCCTCATCGCAGTCTTGCACATGCGTCTCGCCAGCAAATCATCTTTTCCGATTCTTGATTCCGCTTTGACCTTGATCTGTTGTCAACCGACACAGACGCTACCTTGAGCGCAACCCGACCCTGCCGTCACCGCCGCCGAAACAAACAAGCCATCGCGCCCAGCCCCTGTCAAGTCGAAACAAGGCGATAATACCCTGCTTTTCCTAAGCATTCAGGGTTGGTTCCCCAGCTACTTTGGGGGCAACCAAGACAAAAAAGAATTATTTTCATTTTAAACGGACGCCAAAACAAAGGCTGATATTGGTTGCCAGCCCACCACAGCCACACAACGCCAATCTCTCTCGCTGCTTCACAACACCCGCAAAACTATGGGCAGGCTGCCTTGTCCCTCTTCTTCTTCTTCTTCTTCCTGCCCACCACTCAAAGCCTCATGACGGGCTTTCAGCTGCGCATCGCCGTCGCCAACCGCTCCCTCCACATTCTCCATGATAATCGCCATCTGATACAAGCCCGTCACCGAAGACCGCGCATCGCCAGATCAAGCCGTGCCGCCCCTGCCCGCCTGGGGTTCCGCAGGACTGGTGCCGCTGGGGCCGCCACCCTCCCACACGGTGCTAATTACCACCACTACCACCACCGTCGCCGTTCGTCGTCCTCCAAGCTGCATCTCCTGCAACAAAGCCTCAACATGGCTACGAATCAAGTCGTTCGGCGTCGTTCCTCGGCTGCTGATCGCACTCCCTACGACAATCCTCTCTCACCCAATGTCAACTTTGCCATGGCCATGGCCATGTCTACAACCTTTTCCCCTGCCCCTGATTCTGCGCTGGCGCAGGTCAAGGACGACGAAAGTTCTCGACAACAACAAACATCCGCGACAATGGAAAGGGAAAACAGCACAGACATTAGTTTCATGCCGCCGCCACCACGGCCATTTCGCGAATTGCCCCCTACCAGACGGTCTACACATACTCGCGCGCACTCCATGGCCTCGTCCGCGCCCCGGCAAGCCAACAGGCTCTCGCTAACACTGCCCATTGCACCTGCGTCTAGGGGCGACCTTGTCCGCCCGACCTCATCCGCGGCGCCCCCGGTGACACTATCGTCAAAACCACCAACGCCGGCGCAAACACCCGAACTGCCCGCTCTCGAAGACGCCAACGATTTTATAATAGCAATCGCCGCCCAGGAGAGAAAGGTGCTGGAGCTGCGCGAGGAACTCGTCCGTGCCGAGGCCCATCTCGCTTCTATCAAGACCCAATGGAGCTCCAAAGAGTCCATGCAGAAGCGGGCTGCCGAGATACAGTCACAGGCTCTCGCTTCCCCGCAGCGCTGCCCAACTCCGGATGCCATGATGTCGCCAACGAGAAAGAGCGTCGAAATGGACCGCAAGAAGCTCTGGCTGCAGTCGCAACATAATTCACCATCTACCCCTACGCAAGGCCGCCGGAAGATTATGCGGGGGGGACATGCACGCACTTTGTCGCTGCTATCGCCAGCTAGGACTGAGGCACCGTTCAACCTCAACAAGAACAGGCCCAGCATCGATGGCGCTGCGGCTCAGCCTCTGCACGAAAGGGCGGTGCCACCACTAGCACAAGCTCCCGCGCTGTCCAAGCGCGCGACATGGCAACCACTCAGTCAAGCACAACAATCGGGTGTGCTTCCGCTTGTCGAGGACTTTAAGCTCGGCTTGCGCGCCTTTGTCGAGGACATTCGACAAATTGCAGTGGGCGACGAGCCCATCAGCGGACCAGCGCCAGCCACCCATGGTCAATCTGATTCGCTGCACACGAGAACGCTCGGCAGTTCGGCACGCGATCGCGACGTCACGCCCAAGGGACAGGACCGTAAATCATCCGGTCCCACAAAGTCCAGACTCAGTTCATCAGCAGAGGCCGTCAAGCAAGAGTCCGTCCTTGGCGGCAAAGCCGTCAATGCCGTTTCCATGGCTGAAAAGACGAAGTCAAGCGGCCAGGGCAAGCAGTTTTCGTGGACGCCGTTGGGGTTTGAGACACTCGAGGACAATGACTGGGCCAATTGGGACTCGCCTTCTTCTGTCAAGTCGAGCCGCTGGAGTGGTTCCACCATGCACACTGCCGGCTTGGACGAATTCGAGGCGATTCCGGAAAAGGCAGAGGAGTCTGGCGCCTCGACTCCGTCCAAGACGAAGCGCGCATCACATGGTAATAACGTGCTGCGCAGCACAAAGCTCGATGAACTGCTCCCCAGCATGGTGAACCGCTTGTCGCCGAGCAACATGAAGCGCACAGCCAATAACCTCTTGGACGAGTGGGAAAAGTCTTTGATGGCCCCCGAGGTCCGGGACAAGGAGAACAGTGTATAAATTTTTACAGACGACGATGACGACGACGACGTGTCACGGCACAGTATACAAGCGATTCGACCCACGACAAATTTGATTACATATATTACATTTACATTGTACATGGCAACAACTATTGGCAAATAGATTCGGTCAACCACGGCCTACAATTCAGCTTTTTTTACTTTCTTTTCTTTTTACTCTCCCTTTTTTCTCATTTCGTCCTTCTCCTCGCCCTCCCCCCCCCTTTGTTCTCCTTATCTCTCTTTCTTTTGTTTCTTTCGGAGAGGTGGCATTATTTTTTGTGGATATACTGCTGCTCTTCGTCCTGCTTCTGGGGAGATGACAATTGTTTCTTCACCATGTCGGACTATAAGATGATGATGATGAGAATGACAACAATACAGTGAAAACATTTATATAGTATTAGCACTCGGTAATCAAAGTTTAATTGGGCGTTGCATTGCCCCATACTGAACCGATGGTGTACAGGCAGCTTTCCAACCGTAAATTATAACAGTAGTGAATGTTAAGAGTTTTGTGATGCGTAATAATGCACATTTCTCCCACGAGCATCTACCCGTCCTTGGTTTTGAAACACTATACCTTTGGTTCTATTTCCGCTCTGATTGCACAGCACGTTGATTGTCCACATGCCTGACAAGACAGTCCAGCCCACGTTGTACATGCCCGTTGTCGCACGAGATTCTTGTGCGGCGAACGGGGTTCCTCGGAATAGAAGGTTTCGGTGATTCTACGATAAAGGCTGGCCAGGTTTCGGCTGTGATGGTTTTTACTCTGTTGGAAGTAAAAGGCAGAGGTTGCAATAGATGCCCTCGAGAATGCAGGCGGATTGACTTTTGTAGTAGCTAATAGCGTCAATAGGCTTGAATGATATGGTGTATGCGCGGAATAGGCGGATTCGGGGAAGAAGCTGGTGTGGATTAATAAAGAGATTGGAGAGACCTGAGAGGCCGCTCGCTTGAGCGAGAAAGCGGAACAGCCGGCGTGCTTTTCTTGTCAATTAAGGCTTATGATACTTTCTTCAATTGGTCCGAGTCTACCTTGTGACGTACATAGTCGTAAAACGAAACCAAAAGTTGACGCATAAAATTACTGCCGAGAAAGGCATCGCCTCGATTGGCCTAGCATTGCTAACGTTTTATCAACTTGTAGACCAGCATTTTAGGTCAGCCTTGCATTCCAACATTAAGCCAGGAACAAGTAACTGAGACTCGAATCAAAATATATAATTTAATCAATATTCACATCGTTCCAGCATCGATGGGGGAGGGGGGGGGAGGGAATTGCACATGTTACTTGTGTCTCGCGTTGCGAGCTTCAAAATCTGGCGCCGCAAAATTCCCCGCAAAACTAGCTAGTGCGAGCCCCGTCCATCCAATCCTGTCCAGCAACCTGCGAGGTGCTGCTCGAGGCGCTGGAAGTGGTGGTAAGCAAGCGTGCCTAATTCGCCAGCACATTATTTAGCAAAGAGGTGGGCGAGGGGCTCTTTGTTAATGCGGCAATGGGGCGCAATAAGTGCGGAGCCCGGTGACGAGTCTGACCACGACGACGACGCCGGCCGGCTGGTCGGAACGATATATATAGTCTCTAGTCGCCGCCGCCGCCATCATCATCTTCCTCCTTTGTGGGATCTTAACATAAGGAGCAACTTTTTTTCTTTTTTTTTTTCTTTTTTTAGCTTTTCTTTACACTTGGCCAGGAATTTTCCAACAGTTTTTAAAACTATATCGAGGATAGCCCTCTTGGCCCACGGTGTGTGTACTCGACTTACACAGCTCCACCACTTCCTGCCAACATCGAGACAATTCCCCCTCGCCAGCCTCGCGAAATTGAATTTGGCAATCCAAAGAAATAGAAAGAGGGGAAATAGAGTCAACTGCTCACCAGCATCACAATGGGCAAAGGATTCCAGCCCAAGCTGGCTCCCACTGAGCGCCCGTGGACCTACACGCCCCCTCCTAGCGTAAGCAAACATCTCACTTCAGCCACCCGTCATCAATTTTACCAGTTACCTGCCCACCTCCACTAACACCTACCCCTCCCTTTTATTAGGCGCGATACGGCCTCGACAAGATTCTTCGTCTGCCCGTTTTCCTCGTCCTCGGTAGCCTTGCCCAGTGCCTCCTCTCCCTCGTCCTACCCCCTCGCTGGGCCGTCGTGCCTCTCCTCTGCTACCTCGCCATCTCCCTCGTCTCCCTCCTCCTCAACACCACCACCACCACCTCCACCTCCACCTCCACTGCTCTCCCGCGCAACGTCGTCCCCGGCCGCGCCGCCGCGCAGCTGCCCCTCCCCGACGGCAGCTTTCGCGCCTCTCCGGCAGAAGACTCGCTCGTCGTGTTCCACATTGGCGCGCAGTTCAACCACCCCCTCGGCCCGCTCTGCCCCGGCGGCGGAGCGACCGCCGAGCGGTTCGACAAGCTGATTGCGGATCTGCGCGCGCGCGCCGCGGAGCTCGGGGTCCTTGCTGTCAGCGGCTGGCAGGGCGTGGTGGACGGTTCATTCTCGACCAAGACGACCATTTACTTTGAGGACGTGGCGAGCCTGCACGGCTTTGCGCATGAGCCGATGCACAGGGAGGCGTGGGACTGGTTCGCGGCGCAGCGGTTCCCGCATCTGGGCGTGTATCACGAGACGTTTGTGGTGCCGAGGCGGAGCTACGAGTGCGTGTACCTAAACTGCAAGCCGTTGCTGCTGGGCCAGGCGGCGAGGCTGGCGAGGGGAGGCGGCGAGAAGGGGGAGGCGGACAAGAGGTGGGTGAATGCGCTGGTGAATGCGGATACGCCGGCGCTCAAGACGCAATATGCGAGGATGGGGAGGGATCGGAATGGTCAGGTGGTTGAGGGGTGATTCGGGAGACGGCGCGGAGTTGGTTGTGTTTGGGACGATTCAGGCGTTGGGGTCATTGTTTTTGTAAATGATAACTAGTTTGTCCTATCTTTGCCTTGTCATCTCATATATTCTAGGAATAGAGTTGAAATGCATACATCGTGCCCTCTAAGCACGAAACTCGTCAAGTCCATAGGACAGGGCGAGTGGCCTAAATATTCTTCCCGAAAGGTGCGCTGGTGGAATACAAAGAAAGTCATGCACATTCCAACTTGATCGAACAGAATTACCGTCTGCTTGTGCGTGCGCGAAAAAGCAGAGCCAAGTTTTGGACGGCTGACAGCTCCCACCAAGCGCACACACTCTTCAGCAGTGACACTACGCGGGCTCAATTCGTACTCCTGATTCTAGAACACCTGATAAAGCCTGGGCGGCGAAGCGGCTGGCGGTATTTCGAGGCTGAGTATCATAAGCTGGAACCAAGCGTGTCAAAATAATTTTTTTTGTTATATTGGAGTCTTGTACTTGAGCTTACGAACAAACGCGAAGCTAGCTAGCCCAGCGGCCACTCCCGCCTCATTTCCACCAAGGCGACCACCAATCCTGCAACATGGTCACGACGCCTCGGCCTCGTCCCCTTTCCACCAACCACAACCACACTCCGACCACCAAAAAAAAAACAAAAATATGGCGTCGATACTGAGCACCCTCGGCCTCATTCTCTCCAAGATTCCGCTCCTCCTCAAGACCATCGTCTTCTACCTCGCCTCCCTTAGCCCGACGGCGCGCAAGTGGGACCTCGGCACCGAAGTCGCCGTCACCATGCTCCGCGACTTTCTCGGCAACGCGCCGCCATCGACCGTCAGCGCGCAGCAGGCGCTCTTTATGCGCCGCGACACGGGCGCCCGCGGCCGCATCTGGGTCGCCCGCGCCACGCTGCGCGCGCC